AAGTCAGCACAAAGAAGGGCGATGGAGCCCTGCAGGAGTATGAATGAACGTAGTATGAAGCTTAGTATAGACCGGACGACGTAGGTCCCGAGGGACACTTCTTTAGTATTCCCGTTCAAGAGGCCTGTTGAGAAGGTCGCTCTTCCATAAAATAAGCCCCTCGTCCAAGCCGTGTGTTGTTAGACACGATCTAGACTTGGCACGGTTCGTTAAAAGCCACCAGCCACCGGCGTCGTTTAAGAACTGCTTAAGATGTTATTTTTAAGTATGCCGGAATGATGAGTTTTTCCTTCTTGCAGTCCGCACAGGTAAAGAAAGTGCTCATGAGCAAACTAAAATGTCACACTTGAATTTTCAAAAGATGTTTTTCTTTCAAACGTATTTGCAAATATGTTGCCTAAAAAGGATTGGGATAATTAATCAAACAAGTTGATGAAAATAATGCGTATATATTACAAAGTGAAAAACTGTGTCCTCTCTGTTCATCACGTGGTTTTCACATATCCGGAAGTAACAAAAGAAAAAAACGGAGATGATCATAGGGATAAGGTGTATGTAAAAATAAGCATTAGGTGGTAATATGTTAAATTAAATAATTGTTCATTCGGCGAGATGTTCGCTGATTCGACGACCTCGCGATCTCGCAGGTGCAACGTACGAACGGGGGAAGTAGCAGAATCGTATATATCGCGTTAGCGGAATACGATTAATCCGAAATTTATGATGGAAACCAACAGGTGTCGGCATACCGCACGGCCCTTTTCGCTCCTCGTGTGTGTCCCGGTGTGTAACAAGGCGTACCACTCTACGCCGGAGGATTCGCCTAACCGATATGCGTGACTGCTCTTAAACGTTCGCTTCCGGTTTCCGGTACTATCGGCTTAATCAGATATGTTAATTGCCCGCGCGAACGCGCGGGGATCGGGTAATCCTTTTAATATCTCGAGATTAATTGGCAAAGACGTTTTCGTTTTCATCGAATAATGTATTAAATACGTGTTGAGGTGTTACAAAATAGAGCACGCTTATCTTCTCCTCGATAGATCAAATATTTGATGATTTCATTTTAAGATATACGATTTATTTACGGATAATATTAAAGTTTGCCTATTATAAGTTTTTCTATTTTATTTTGAATTTGATTTAATATTCGGTAAGAATTTTAGGATTGATTAATCTCGCATGTAGCTAGAAGTTATCATCTAAAATCTTGAGTTTTGTTAGGTAGCGTGAAAGATAAAAATCAGCTAAATGCTGTTATTTTTAATCGTTATTTTCGACACAAAACACATTGTGCCTGTAAAGACTCTTTCGCTGTTGAGCTTTTTACCTGTAATCCTCCTCGTTGCTGACGTAATCGGGCGGTATCAAATGCCAAGAAGCATCGTAACAATCGTCGTATCCGGCTGCCATTTTTCTCGATTTTTTCCTCACCGTTTGGATTGACGAACGTGTCCGTTTCTGCAGTCGACACAAAAGTCGGAATATCCCGCGGCTTTCTGACCAAGTCAAAAACGTACCGCCGTCGGCTGACTCATCCAGGAGTCAACCGAAGGAATTCCTTCACGATTTCGTACAGTCCTTCAATACGTTAATCTTTTCTCGAGAGCGATAGACCCGCGTTTCATGCTTGCATTCCTCGAAAATTCTACGCGTTTTTCGCATCGAAGTGTCATCGCATATCCTTCTGCAATGATTCTGCGACACGAGTCTTCTGCGACGAATTTGAACAAAGTGGAAGAAAGGAAGTCCTACGAAGTCTTCCGTTTGATGTGGCGCGATTAACTTATATATCCTCGAAAATTTCTCGAAAAATTGAATTTGCAATACGATTCACCGACGTTAAAACGGATACGACGAGCGATTAATAACGCGATCATCATTAATCGTTGAAATACAGATTAACTCCTCTCGAAAATAAGATTTTCAAGATTTTCACTTTCTTTCTAACGGCCTCGCGCGTGATAGCTACTCGACAAATATTTGTTGGAGAAGCAACTCGGCACTCAAAAGAGGAATTTAATGAAAATTATCGTGGAAAACAGCACCAAGATTATACTGCCGTGTCCGCCTCGTGATAACGAGGTTTTACTGAGAACTATGTGGCAATATATCGATCACCTATATATTGTATCAAAAATATGGCTACCTGATAGGAGCTCCGGCAACGTTATCGGCGCGATAACACCCTACATAGATTAGTTTGACTACCGCAAATCATAACGTCGAAGGGGGGCCGAAATATAATCGAGTCTCATCGATCTCGAATGATGCAAGAGACTTACATTTGCATCGTTGTTTTTCACTGCACTTATATATTTAAATTACATTTCAAAAAAATTAATTTTTCTCTCTCATATATAATCCAGTTATTATCGTGGGTTTATAGATTAAAAAGTACAATAGCTTTTTATACGAATTAAATTTTAATATAATATTAATTAAAAAACGATTCTCTCACATATATATATACATTTTGTACATATAAATACAGAAAATATATGGATAAGTATGTATGTAGATTGCATATGTCCAAAATTCGATTCATTATTACGCACGTGTGCCATTTAATGATTAAAAGATAGAAAATATTTATCTTTCACTTGCAACTTCATAATCGCAAAAGAGAAAAAAGGAGAAAATTATATAGATTGCCGTATCTGTCACGTGTAAAATGATTTTAAGATATTAATGTTCGATAGTGCATTGCCAGGCTGGGATTTTCTACTAGGCTGTGGTGACGCAGCGTAATTTCAGTAAACACATGCGCATTTTTATTATCATTATCGATATTATTTTCTAATTACGTTTTGGTTATTGTACAATCACCCAGTTTCATTCTCGTTGATCGATTCGATATCAATACAGTACATACGGATAACTGTAATTAAATTATCATCAGCTGGAGTGCATTCGGAAAAAATCGTAAAGATAAAAAAATGAAAATTTCAGATAACAATGTTATAAATGCATTGAATGAGAAACAGCGACTCTAGAGAGGTAGTAATCGGCCAATTGTTGTTGCTACTCGACAGTCAGTTGTATATCGTACAATTTGTTAATGACAAGAGACCCTCGAGGTGAAGTATCCGCGGCTTAATCGACAAGTGCTACCGAACGAAGCCCGCTACGAGTGCACTTGATAAAGTAACATCGTTTCCCTCACTATCTGTATTTATGTATTTATGCAGCGATTCGCACAGATAAGCCAATCTTCGCGTCACATAATATTAATTGCTGTAATTATCGCGAGAGACATCATCTTTGTGTTAAATAAATAAAAAATCGCGTTAAGCAACATTTGACGATAGAAAACATTATTTGTGGAAGAATAATAATGGCGGTCCACGATGATCAAGCGCGGAACGTTAGATACCGTTGTCGTGTGTGGTGTAACTTCTTCGTTAAATTTCCAGGACGCCGTGACACCGTTTATCTGTCCAGCACATCTATGACATATGGGTCTAATCTCCGCTTATCGCGGTTAAAGCGATAAGGGCGAGTTGTTGCGCATCGCAAAAATGGACGCGCTCGCGGTATCTCTAATAATTTTATGGAAAGGTGGGGTAAAGAAATTGCGAGCGCCGTATAAGCGTGTAAAAGATTGATATAATTTCGAGCGACGCAAAAATTTGTGTCTTGGAAGATAAGGGGTCGTAACGAGCTATCAATCATTTTTGCCCGGTATTGATTTAAAGTATTTTATCATCGGTTGCCGATGAATATTGTGACTCTTAATTAGTTGATATAATAATGAAATAATCGTTCAATAATCAACAAGAAGCGTGTTCGTACGGTTAAATAATTTATTATTGTAAGATCAACAGTATCTACATTTAATAATAATAATATAAAACGATTTTTGTTAAATATTATTATACATTTACGAGAAAGGAAGACATTATCATAATTCATTATAATATGTATATCAATTAGAGAGGGTTTACACAGATATAAGAATTATACATTACATCGCTATTGATCTTCGCGCATATTTTGCATTTTGTTGATTAGAATAAAAATAATTAAAATTACAGACTTAAAATTACGAAATAATGTATCAGAGAATGAATAAGCGTACGTAATAGGAATTATTTTGCTTCTCCACATGTGATCATCATCGATTGAGAAATGCGATCGTTCTAAAAAGGAATGTGGACGATGGCGATAAATACTTATATTATATCGCAAAAAGAACATTTATAATTATAACTTAAATTAAAGGCTAAATTTAAAATGTTAGATGATAATGCATTAACTAGTGTGTAAAAGTACTATGAATTTTCTTATTTCGCTTTGCGTAACAAAATAGATTTAGGAGCGTTTTCTACATCTACCTTAATGTATAGTCTTTCTGTTATAGTATAAAGAAGAAATTTAAAGTTTGCATATTATGCAAGATACAAATATGCGCGTCGATAAAAATTGAATTTTTGCTGATACCGATATATCGACCCATGACTTATATTATAAAACATAATAATCGTTGCTACAGATGTTATTATACATATAAATAAGTGAGTATATATGCAAAAAGAATCAGTTCAACAGCGTTCCGGAGATAACACGCAAACTTTAGCCATATTTTCGCACGCGCTGCATTTTGCACTACCGTATCGAAGAAACAACATATACAATTTATGATCACAATTACGTAATTGTCGAGACAGACACGATGTTTCGTCTAAATACGATACTGCCCGCGTACTTTGAACGTACCGTCGTGATTTAGATGCAGTTACATCCGGTTGTCGGCTTGTCTACTGCAAAGTTTCCATCGTAAAGCTTATCGCTGAACCGGATTCAGGAAAAAAATTGACTGTCTAAATGAGGAATCACCCTACGCACTTTGAAGTTGCAAATCGACGATAATCCAATTAATCATCTGGAATCATATCCCGATGATAAGTGCCCTTTTGGAGTAAAAGTGATGTAGAGCGATTCAGAAATAGCGTATGGATTAATTTTTCCTCTGTCACATTATGCAAATTATAATTTAATTATTATAGAAAGAAGCATGATTGCGTTAAAGTGAAAATGCGCGATATTGGACGACGTACTTTGGACCAGTTATACTTTGGACATAGTTCGGACAAAATCTTCCAGAAAGAAACGCAAGTGTTAAAAATTTGACGAAACATCTGTAAACATTTTAATTCGTCAAATAATTTTTCAGAATAATAATTGATAAGCGACTACGACGGAGGTCTTTTACAATCTCGACTTTTATTCGGATATGTGTCTTGATATCCTGATATCTTTGTTATATCTTGACGACTGCGACGGACAAATATCTTTCGTTCGAAATCATGTTTAATCTTCGACAATTGCGTAACTGTCAATGACGTTCGATACAGGCGTGATATTGTATCACCGATAGTGATCTTTTGTCTCAAAGGGAAGCTTTCGTTTCTTCTCTCCCTCCCCCTTCCTCTCATTCTATATCTTTCTTTTTTGTTTTGTTTGTGTTAATTGATTATTTTTTTTTACGGTTGCCGTGACTCGTGCGCTTACCCTTATGACATTTACTCACGTTTGTACTGCGCTTCTGCATCACTGCACCATTGTTAGTTTCTCCGGGTGATTTCGATTCTGTCAAAAAAAAATATATATATATATGTCGGTTTGTTGAGACGAGTAGATTCACATGCGATCTAAATAAGTTTGACGACATAGCTACGAAAAACGAACCAACGCGACGTATGCAAGTGCGTTTTGATGTACCTGAAATCGTTGATGCTGAGATGAAACGTGCTTCGCCATTGATAAACTCGTTTGTTTTTAAACTCTTTCTTGTGGTACATTCTAAACAATTGATAATTTGGATGTAATTGATTTTATTTATTTAATATACGATTATATGCGATATGATATTTATCACTGCGGTGGTCACCGGTGATCAACACCGAGTTTTCCGGTTACTAGTCCTTCCCAGTCTTACTATAAACTCATTGATGCCATCATGCATAAAGATAGATATTCAAAGCTACAAATATTACACGAACGCAAAATGTGCGCAGCATTACTATAGCAGGACGTAACGTCTAATCACTAATGTCATAGGATTATCTCAAATGGATTTAATATTGCATAGGAATATTATAAAATGAAAGAAGAGATTTTGCTTATCGATTTTTATTTACGGTTTCAACATGATGGAGCACCTTTTTACGTTACAAGCGGAATCCAAAACGTACTAAATAAAACGTAATCGAATCGATGAATTCGAAATTCGATGATCTAATTAATTGAATAACAAGATTGCTAGATTTAATTTTAAAGGATTCTTTCTTCTGGAGATATCTTAAATAATACATTTATCAACACGAACGAATTCAATGTAAAGAGGAGAACAATTCCATTCATGAAAAAGTAGCAACAACTACAAATGACAAAATTAGAAAGTCGTATTAAGATGTACACGATTATGCACTAAAGACCGGCAAAATTTTTGTATCGAAATATATAATTACAATTATTGTGTATCATAGCATTCACATAGCGATCTTGTTTTCTCTGATTATAATTACAATGTTTTTGTTGGTGCTAGCGATATATATTTTGTACAAAATTCTAATTAATTGTAATTACATTTTTTATATCCATTTTATTTATAATTATTTAAATTTCTCTAAGTAATTTGCAGTAAACGATCGATTAAATAAATACAATCGACGTAGGATCCAGTAGCATTTTGCATGATGCGGGAAAATAGTATTACTTTCTAGAGCCAAAAACGTTCAAAATATACCTTTAACACAAACGTAGAATTGAGTTATTTCCTTGATTGATTTACTGCTATTAGATTTCACGATCGTCTATGTCCAGGAAACGAATAAAATAATTTAAATAATTTAAATAATTTAGTAACAAGAGTTATCATTTTTCTCAATGAAAACTCTTAAGTGTGTCGAAAATCAATATTGCGTATAACCGCATATATAAAAAAAATATTGTATATAAAACAATATCTAAAATAATATTATGTATAAATTAATATCGCATATATCGTAAATATAATAACACGTGTAATATAAATAGCCTCGTAGATTGCAGATGTTTACATGTTTCACGATTTAATCGTTAATAATGTTAACGACCATTAGTAATATTAATACGAACCCATTGACGCAACAATTCAATGCACATATATTCGTCGCTTATGCTTAAAGCTATTGAATGATACTTGATCAGAAGTTAGAAAGCAATTTCAACAATGCGAGCAAATGGAAATTCAGGGCGACGTAAACGAAAGCAAATGCACATGCAGCGAATGCACAAGCGCGTGTAGGAGGAGTGTAATATAGCGAAAATCTAGCTCGAGAGCCAGGTCGAGAGATCGCAGCCACAGGAGATGCAAAACGCGTTGAGAATCACTTACGTTCGGCGACCGAGGATTCCTTCGGCGCGTCGCTGTCCGAGCTGATCGGCGAGTAGAAGGTCGGATCGCCTTCCTGACTGGATCTGTCGGGCGTATAACACTCGGGCGAGTCGATAGTGTCGATACCCTGCGAAATCACGAGGCGTTCTTCTACCTTATCGCGGCTCTCCTTGGCCGACGATCTCTAAATACGTTGAACAAGTTCGTTGAACATTTACGTGTTGCGTAAAGAATCGATCCTAAAGTACCGTCAACGTTCCTCGATACCGGCGTCGATTCCGTTCCGCTCTCGTATCGCGCGAAAAATTCGCGTAGGACATATGTTTCATATACATAAATATACAAGGATATAAAATTTTGCTGTTTTTAATTGCTTTCGTTGCGTTGTGTTATTAGCGTTTCGTTCTGTTTGACGGAATAGCTGAAATACAGTACGGCAGAATTTATTAAAGAATTTATTAACGCAAAGGTATATCGCGCGTCTACTTCGCTTGATGTATGCGCTTGCTCGTTTAGAGCGTAAATCTCGAGTAAACGCGAGGCAGCCACGTGTGTCGACTTCTTTTATTCCTTATTCTTCATAAAGACAATCCTAAAGGGCATTTTTCGAGGTGTTTACCTTCTCGCAATCCAGCTCGACGGTTTCCTCCTGGGGAGCTGGTGCGGAAGTCTGCTCGGCATTCAGAAACCGCTCGATATTGGTTTTGAGGAACTTTTTAGCGTCTTCTTGGACGGCGTGAACCTCAGTCGGAGACACGTTGCCGTCGTCGCTGTTCTCGTCGCTGCTCGTGTCGCTCGAAAAGCCGCATTTGACCGGCTGAAAAGATAGCGAAAACGTGGCCAGATAAATATTCCCTATCGTGCAAAAGCACATACATGTGCAACATTGGAACTAAAAATATAAATGAAGCGAGCGCGGCGTATCGTCGAAGCAGCTGCGGGCTATCTGTCGCAGAAGGGTCAAGTCACAGAGTTTTCTTCGAATCCGCAAATTGATTGTAAACGTGAAATTCCGCTTGAATCGACTACGAATTTAATGATAGCGTCCAGGATGAGAAAATGAATATCAGATGACATATATGATACTTGGTCACTCACATCGAAATCCTCATCGTCCTCGCTATTCTCCAAAGCAAGTCGATCGATCTTCTCATTCAGAGTCTCCTTCTTCTCCTCTTTCTCCGATTCGCTCGATGAGTCTTTTAATTTTGCTGTAGACTCCGTCGATTCCGTCACTGATTTTTCTTCTAATGCCGTTACCTCGAATCGAATATTTTATTAGTTTCAATATAACGAAGATAATTCTTAAAACAGAGTTTCAACGAATAAATTCACATTTACGATTATCTTATAGATACTTGTCTCTCAAGATTTTTAATAATAGATACGCACAGATTAATCCGCCGAAAGATATTAATCTGTAGAATAAACATTTAGAAACACAAAATACATGCCAACAAGAGAGCACTCGAAATACTCGGAGAAAGAATAGATCACGATATTTTTAGATAATTATACAATTAAAAAATGCAATTAAACATACGCGATTTACATTTATTATATAAAGTGTAAGATCAATAACGAATGCGTTCTACTTACTGGATCGGGATCGAGGACGCTACTAACGTGAATTTTGGTGGGCGGTGGTGACAGAGAAGGTTTGGATGCATCCAGGCAGGATAAGCTCGACAAAGTCAGCCGAATGGACTTGATTAGAGCCTTCTTAGCCTCGTTGATTGACGATCTCTTGTCCTACACCCACCATCGAGACTATTATCGTGCTAATTTTATTATCTTTCTACAGTCGTTGCATTCGCTACATTTCACTGACAAACAAAACGCGCGTCTTACCTTCGTCTCGTACCTCTCTTTCGTTCCTTTGTTCATTCCTTTATTTAGATACCTGCGACATATCTGCACGAACTTTACCTGCCGAAAAAGTGAATTACAATGAGAGGATTATAAAAGAGGATTAGAATGCGCAAATAAAATAAATTTAACGAATTCTGAAACTGCACGTGTTTTATAATGGAAAAATCAACGTGATATAAAGCTTGTTTCCGCCGATCTTTATTTTTTTTTTAAACTAACACGACAATGTCAATGTTAAATGTGTAATTTATGTAAAGATGAACGTACCATTCCGCTCGGCGTGATTTCAGGGTAACCCAATATGTAACCACCTATATTCAGTGTCGCTCTGATCACTCGCAGCAGCACTAAACTCGGCAAGAACAAGAGCCATGGCAATGGTCTCACGAGTTCCGGTTTTCCCGAGTCTTTCCGGTTCTCGTCTGAAATAACGATCAAGCTCGGTCAAAACTAAACTCGAGAAAACTATTTTTCGTCGTTAAAACCATTCGTACCTCCTCTGACTTCCTGCCTAGGTAGACTCCATTCCGCACATTTCTCTACAACCCACAGGAAATTATCCATAAGTCTCAGCACTGTTTGGCCCAATCTGCTTTGCACCACGATTGACTGCAGCAATTTCAGTTCAATCCAAATACAATTCTCTTGCGGTGCCTCGTCGACTGCCTAACGACACGAGTGAAGAATATAATTTGCTCGTTCACCGGGATATATTTCTACAGAATATAATTTTCGAATGCTTACTGTCTTTGACGAACTTGCCATGGCCATGTTTATGTCGGAAGTAAATCAACACCTATAAAGATATTTGAGCCAGCGTAAATCGGCTTGTTCGCGTTAATTATCAATTTAATTCTAAGGCGACTACAGCGCTTTTTTTATTATAAGTGTATTTTTCTTTTATGGAAAATGTATAGTTATTCAGAGATTGTTGATAATAGCGTTGTTTCAATCATTTCTGATGCTATACCGTTTGTTTTCCATCAACTATAAGCGAATGTTTAATAAGATTCAGATGTGAAGATTTTCCGTAAAATGTGAATGCTCGCGTGCCACGGGATTTCTGCAATGGATCCGAGTAATGATTATACGGAGACAGTACGCTGATGATCCGCTGATAGTCCACGATCAGAGGACATGAATAAAATTTTCCCTCATTAAGTCTTAATGACTCAAGTTAAGTCCTAATGATTCAGAAATGCAAAATAGACAATGAAGAAAGCGACGATGATAATATTATTATCAGGAAGGCACGACCTCGGCTTATCAGGGCGGAACGCCAAAAGAAATTCCAATAACGGCGTATTTTCGTCGCTAAAACATAATATGTACTCGATCACTGACAGATTAATTTAGATCGCCGAAAAATATTTAGAAGTTATGTTTTATGGATTTTATCACGCGGCATTTTAATCTATACCGCTCAGTTTCTCTTGGAGCATTCTTATATACCTAAATGTTACACCATAGTGATATATATTTCCAGCAATTCTTATGATTTCATCAAAACAAAATTGATTTTTAATTTACAAATGTATTACAAAGCACCGCAAAAGAATATACTTAAGAATAATTAAGTTGAGACTCAAGTTATTTTAATGCTTGCAATTTTAAAGCATGTCATTTTAATCGTCCGTTAAATTTATGTATACGTGCCGATTTATTTACAGATGGGATAGAATTTGTTGTAAACTTACAGACGAAGACGGTCTTCGCTAAATGTCCATGAGATATGCTGATGCAATTTAATCTATCTCGATTTTATAAAATTGAGCACGTCAACTTAAAAATCCTCGCCAGAAAAGTGCCGCGTGCGTGATATACAAGTGCAAATGATATACAAAAGTAAAAATAATGTAGGTACTGACTAAGCTTTATCAACATTTTTCTCGTATATAACATTTTTTAATTTAACCGATAATGACAAATGTAGTTTTCCTCTCGCAAGTCAAATGAATGACTCAACGATATTGATAGGGCATTATAGAATAATTTGTCGCAATGAATGGTGAAAACATTTAGGAAGTTACGTGTACGTTAAAACAAACAAAATGTTTATTTAATTGTATAATTTTAATTTGTTCTGAATCCCAATAGTCTATCATGAAATTAATTACATAAAATGGACCGACAAATGGAATATATGTATAATAATTTAATATATTGACTAATATGGGCATGTAATAATTTAACGGATTGATTAATAGTTAGACTTTTTAATCACAGTCGATGTGTTGTAATATAACTTGAACTTTAAATTAGCGAAGTGTCGATATTGTTAACAGACGCAATTAAAACTTGTATTCGCTTTAAATATTTAATGTTCCAAGATATGATCTGAGAGCAAAGTTTACAAATTGGAGACACGAGATTAATAACATGACATCTTATACATAGTATGAAATTTTATTCGGTTGTACTTTCCTTGACTTCGGAAGTCCATGGTCAAATAACATCTTAGGCAACTGTTTACATTACACATGCCGAGTGATAATTAAGAATTATGTCTGTGCGATGTCTAGTAAAAATCTAACTATCCTCTTACTCACTCGTTTACATCGTGACCACGATAACGGAGTTACTCGTCGTCACGATGTTTGTCTTTTTCGGCTTTTATCGTGTTTTTGTTTGATTCGTGTAGCAGGTCCTCTTGACCGTCAAATCTTGTGCCGCCTATCGGCACAATATAAAAGAAATAATTTTTTTTTCCGTTGAACACACACAGTGAGCGTGCGGTGTCTGTACACACGCGCGAGTAATCCAGGAGAATGTGAAATCTTTCAGCTGTATTGTTTCAACCGCTTTGAACAGATCGAGCCGCCGATTACATAAATTACATATAATAGCATAATTGGTGTTATTATTCTTCGAAGTGTATCTAATGTTACTAAATTGCGTATTTTTAGAGAAAAAAATTACGTAAAAATTATTATTATTCAGGTAGTGAATTACTTGTAAGTGCTTTCTAAGACATTCTTTTATTATATTTGCAATTATGTTATTTGATCAACAATAGTGATGAATTTTCTTGCAAACGCAACAATTATCTGAGAGAAATTACTACGGCATAAATAGTAAAAATAAAAATTAATCGTGGCTGCAAATCGTTTATCTCTTCTTCGTCGATAAATTAACTAGCGCTGGAATTCGTGTCGAAACACATCATTATTTGTCAAAATCTAACACACTGTTGACTCTACTAGATAATTCAATACGAGTGTTTAGAATGTTTGGGTCAGAAAGGACAGACTTTGAAATAGTATCATATCACTGTTCAATACATACATTTCCAGTTAATATCGCGAAGCTATTTATCTACAAATCACAGAAAGTCTTATTAAACAATCGACTCTTTCAGTTTTATAAAAATTGACAGATATAATCTTCCTTAATACATCGAATAACATCATAATCTGTTTAAAGCGCAGAATAATAGAGAATTTTTCCACCAGTTATTGATAAAGCTTCTTCGGTATACGAAGCATGATTTTTGCAGCCTGCCTGTCTTTAAACTTTAACTTGAATTACCTCTCGTTGCGAATACAAAGACTGGATAGAGAACTATCGCTGCTACTGCTACTGACTGTAATCTTCGTCGCAATCACGTGCTGTAACGTCCTAGAACCGTGTCCTTTGCGGTCGCTAGCTGTACTCTTGGATGAGTACTCAATCACGCGCGAACGGAGCCGACACTTTCGTGACTGCGAGATGTTGAGCGCGAACTGAGAAAGCAGAAGTTTCACGGACAGTAACGTAACAACGATCGAGAGCGTGTAAGCGGCGCCTTACATATATGTATATAAGAGTCCGCAGCGATTTTTGGGGTCCCGAGAAGAGAATCAAGCCTGTGAAACGCGGCGATGTATTTCTTCGCGCTAGATCGCATGCGAGCTAGTTAATAGAAATGCGTCACGCAACATACATTTCTAACAAAATATTTCGAAGAAACGCATCATCTGTCGCAAGCAGCTTAAAAAAATTAAACTCAATCTACTGACAGAAAAGTATCACAGAAATGTTTCGGCTGATCAATTATTTACTTAAAATATATTCATACTGATATTTTTTTAATTTTTCAAGTACTATTTATAAATCTTTGAAGCGCACATTAACGAGATTTACAATCGCGTCGTTTATCTTTATTAACATATCTACTTTGCACTCTTAATATACATCTTGCAATAATATATGACAAAATTTTGCGTCATTTCTTACGTCAATGCTCATCAAAATTAATTTTTTACAGCGGATAATTTATTTGATAGATAGCTTTGCTTTTTATACGGTTTTATTTAATTCTACTATGATTTATACGATTGTAACTTAACTTTATTCAAGACGTCTCTTTCTATCTTTCTTTTCTCGTGAATTTAAATTAAAAGCGGTCGATTTAAAAATTACTTTAATTTAAATTAAAAGATTATAATTTCAGATATTATCAGTTTTGCATAAAGTAATTAAAGATATTATCGCCCTTGCATAAAGTATTTCGTCACATAAGAGGATTCGAAAATAATCCGCATTTTAGTCGATTTTATTAAACGTTTATTATATCGGCATTAAAATTTTAAATTTTGAAGCACATATGCGCGCATACAGAGCAATGAAAAAAGAGCGCAAGCCAAACTGTATCCTTCTTCTTCGCTGGAACTTAAAGACGCAGCACGTAGTGTAAATTACATCCTAGACAATTATTTCACGATTGACGCTTTTCGCTTAAATTAATTCGATTATGACGCATCTACAATCAATGTTGATCTCGACAGTCGAAACTAATATTGAAAGCACACAACATGCCCAAAACACGTAAGCGTTCACAAAACGTCTACATGCCGTAATCCTTTCGCTCGTTGTCCCTCTCACTCGTCTGCTCTCGGAACGTATAATTTTATAAACTTTTTTTTTTTTTTACGAAAGTGAAATATAGTGTCGCGATCGACGGTATTCCTACAATATAATTTAAGAAACAGTTCGCATTTACTCGTGCGATTCTGAGTATTTTTACCTCAAATTCACCGCGTTTTAAGGCCATCATATCCCGAGAGACTGTCATGGAGATGCAAACATAATCATTTATTTTCTAAAATCGATTTGTACGGGATAAACATTAATAGATGAATCTTTCAATATAACTTTAGTCTAACTTTAGTCTTTCACATCTTTGTAATTCAATAATCGAGTGTATAAGCGTACCATTTTGTCTCGCAATCTGCCTTCACGAAGCGTACACTGTCTAATTTATTGAAATCAAAATATCTTGACGCTATGCATGTTTGGTTTGTGTCTCTACGAATATGTTGTGTAGTAGCTTCTATGATAGAATGTCAAAGCGGAATTGAATCTTAACATTATGTATCCAAATTATATCTCGCTGACAATGAAAACTTACTTCACACGAAACCATGAGTGCATCGGGCATATTGCACATAGAAAACGAGTGGAAACAGATTGAGCGGCTTTCGACCGAGCTTCTCAGTAGGATTAATATTTTAGATGACTACAAATAGATTTCAGAATACAAAATTGTTGACGGGAGCTTCGTGATTCATTATCGATACAAACTTAATACAATTACAAACAAAACACTCACGCATTTAAAAAAAGTGTAGTTAACGTAACTCGCTACGTAACAGTACGGATGTAGATAACATTGATAGGTATCGGTATCCATAAATTGTCGAGGCAATTCGAGAGCCATTGGTCTTCGGAACTCTACCATTTTAACGCTATAAGGAATTGTAATAATTTGTGATGGATTACTAGTTGACTTTCTTCTTCTAATTTCCATCATTTCTCTCCTTTCGTCAACGGCCAATAAAGAACAAGTTATTCAAGTGCACTACTCAACTTAAATCTATTCTAATATAGTGCGAATCTTAATGATTTCGGTGAACTTTATTAACAAAACGTATGCACAATCGGCGTTAAAACTGTTGAATTTGCTCATGTAAAATAGCTTATATAATAATTATGCAAGGGATAGTGATACTGGCTCACAGGCATGGTAAACTGAAACGCACTTGGATAATTTGCTGTCGTTCATTTCGATTACACATCGGCAAATAAAAAAGGTTAATATTCCTCCTCGTCGTCGGGCGCAAGTCCGTCGCCTTCCAATTCTTCGGGTGGCGCAAAACCATCCTGAAAAGAAAAGATAGATAGAGATATTACTTGAGGCATTTATCCGAAGGGAAAGAATTGCAAACTTATTATATAAATAAAAATTACCTCTGTTGCATAAAGGACTTCTAAAATTTTCTGTATAATAGGTGGTGGATCGCCGCCGTTGTCGCAATCTTGGCACATGACTTCTATGTCACGTAATTTTCCGAAGTAGAAATCTCTCTCCTTTTCCAGACCTTCGACTGACATTTTCAGTTCAACCAACTGAAACATTGCATTAATTTTTATTAAGAGATAATACATAGAAAAAAAACATTTATTGCCATAAATATCTGTTGAATAAAATTTATGTATAATACCTGTGCACTAAGTTCCTCAATTTTTCCGTTATCGCCACGGTTGCCGACTGTGGTTTTGGGTGGCGCACGGTACGGAGGCTGAACTTTATTTACTAGATAAAAGAAATATATAATGCTTTAAAATATCATGTTAAAATCATTAAGTAATTATGTATACTTCTGCAATATAAATTAGAATAATTTGTAACTTGTGTAGAAATTAACAAAGCTACCTAAACATGTAAATATACAAGCTATTTTGCGACAAGCAAAACAATGCATGCAGAAATATGGTTCAAAATCATGCACAACATGTGTATTTTACAATCATAACAAATTGGGGAAATGTATATTATGGAAATATTTATATATATAAATGAAATCTTTGCATTATGTAATAAAAGAAAATCGCAAGGCAAGTGTTCCTAAGAAATAAAAAAATGATAGGTTCTCATATTACGTATTAACTTGTAGAATAATGTGTATTGACAAATTTTGATAGCGATTATAGACTAATGTTGATACAGACGATTATCATAAATTAGTGGAAGCTATAATACTTGCATCAGAGTGAGGGAACAATATATTGTGACTACATATCTCATTCTCATAATTATGTGTTCACTGAAATTTTGCCTGTCTTAATTATGTTCTCATGTACTGCGATAATCAGTATTAATGAAGTTACCACTCAGACATTGTAATCAGTGAATACAGAAACTACTAGGAACACACACATAATTTACTCTATACTTTCCTTCATATACCTCAGTATTTAAAATATATACGGAGCTAGAGAAGCAAAATATAAGTGACGAGAGTTACAGTTAAAAACAAAAAGAGATATTGAATTTCACCTAAAGTGTTTGTACTATCTGCACGCATGGTAGATGGTTGTCCCTCACCTAAAGGCAAATTTCATTTCAAGTTATTGAGGACATATTATGCAATAAACCATAATTGAAACTCCTGTTGAAATATTTAGCAACGGGGAAGTATAAATTCAGTTCCCATGTCACGGATTATAAAGTTATAGCATAAATTTTTGATCTGTTTAATCTCCCTACCGACTTGATATTTACTTTGTAATCATTACCTTGCCTGCTGCAGTAAGGTCAGCCAAATTTTCATAACGGATCAAAGGATAATCAAGCAATCAAGTCATTGTCAATTATTGATTAGTACAAAATCTGTGTTAACGTACAAGTTTCAAATTGTACTTGTAAAAAGGCTATATATATATATCTCTCTCTATAATATCAGATCTCACTCTCTTTTTTTAAATGGTGTTAAAACTCAAATTTCTTTATGTCAAAAAGTAAAGTCATTAAATGATGTACCAGTAGTACGAGGAGCCGGTTTAGCTGAATTTACTGTGTCACGTGGAGAAGCACGTTTCATGTTAGAACCACCACGAGGTGCATTACTTCCGCCACTACCCATAGGCTCCCCTCCTCGCATAGCAAGCGCATCGTACGGCTCCGCTCCCGAGTAGTTTGCATCAAAGAATTTCTTGAACCATTGCAAAAACTCAAAGTTGTCTTGGAACCTGCCTTTCACCAGCCTATCAATTGGCACAATCTGCAAAGGAGGAGTGGAACACGTGTGCAACAAAAGAAAATAAAACAAAATTAAATACAAACGAATTTTGAATAAACTTGTATATTAAAATTAACCGGTTTTAACACTAGAAAATAACATTACTTTATGACACACTATTAAAAATAAGCATCTCTAGAACTCTTCCTATCGCTCTGCAGTAAATCTAACAGTAAATCAGGATAAGTGCGGAGGCAACATTTAACATCCTAATCTATGTATACTTGGAAAAATTATCTCAACGATACATATCCAAAGATTTATATATAAATATATGCAACAAGTTTCAGTACATCTCCCATAGATCAGATCGATTTAGACGAGTTAAAAATGTTCATATCTCTATGATGTGGAAAATTGAAGAGTGCGTGTAACGTGAAGTCAGTGTTTGCATGTAACATTGTAAAAAAAAATAGCTTGTAACACGTTTATGCACATAGACTAGTAACGTGATGATCGAAACAAATCGAGATACAATACTATTGCAATATAAATTGCATGTGCATGTGCATGTACACGTGTAGGATGATTCTATCGAAATATCTCTCTAAAAAAAAAAAACATACAGCATGCAAGAAGCGACCGTGTAAAATCGAGATCTGCAACAATATACCCTGTTGCTGCCGCGGGACGATGTTACGTTGCTGTATGTGTCTTTGTTGGATTTGCGGCTGTTTCGATTGCGGCGGCAACGGTACCAACTGAGGATTCGACAAAGTGTGCGTCCCGTCCACGCCGGAACCTAGCGGTATGCAGCCGCGCGCGTCGTAAGCGTCATATTCACGCCCATCGTAATTTGCGTCGAAAAACTTTTTGAACCACTGTAGAAACTCAAAGTTATCTTGAAAGCGCCCTTTTATCAGCTTGTCCACTGGTATTACCTGAACCATTTCCATCACGGTCGTATCATTACGATTTTTCATCCAGCCTTGCGTAAAGCTACGCTATTACACGCGGGACAATGTCGATTTTTTTTTCTTTAGATCTTGAAGCAACGTCGCAGTTTATATATCACGCGTAACGCAACGGCTTACCTTTTAATATTTCTCTAAAAATCATCTTTATTCTTATGGATAAATGTGTCTTGCCACATTATTTTACTGTCTTTAAAGCGATTTGATCAGAGATAGCGAGGGAGAAGAGAATAGTCTGCTTGCCCTTACCTTGTCCACGTTCATCTTTTTGAAGCCACCTTGGAGAATTTTGAAATTCTGTATATATTCGTGCTCCAGATTCGTCTTGAACTTGACCCTTTTCAAGGGTACACTGCCGGGGAAGAGCATGTCCATGAACTGACAATAGACCGCACCGGTGCACAGCTCCTCGATCTTGGTGAACGAGGATTGCAGGCAGTCGTTTACCCACGCGAGCATGTCGTGACGACTTAGATTGTCGGATGTCATATTTGTGGCGTACACGTTTACAGCCATGTTGCTGCGTTTGCTTTAACTGAAAAGTACAGAATAACAGATTAGAATTTCAAGTGTTGGCGATATTTTGGCGATGCCGAGGGACGCAATAACAATACGGCGAGCGTTAGACGCAACGCGTTGATCAGTTTCGAGATCGGGAGATTCGCTATCACGATTATTGTCGGCCTCCGGCGACCGGGACCGGAGGAAGGACAAAACCGCGGGATTGCACCGCGACTCCGGTATAAATAAAGTCGGCGGGCGGGATCGTGGGCAATAACCGAGGCGGTGCGGCACGCCAGGAATCGCCGTCCCGCTGGATATCCGGACGACCGAACTCCAGGATATCCTGAGACGGACGGCATTCCATTCGCTTTTTGGCGGGGGCGGGGAAGGGGGGTACGAAACTGTCGCGGTCGACATATTCGGCATTCTTTATTCCCCGTGCGCCCGCGAGATTCCGGCTCGCGCGAGACCGCCGCTCTCCCAGGGCGGCCTCGCGCCACCGCCCCGCACGCCCGGGGTTAGTCCGCCGCGTCCGGGCGGGGTAGCTAGCGACGGCCAGCCGTCGGCCCGGCCGCCGCGACTTCCACGCACGACTTACCCGAGGATCGCGAAAACACGGTTAACACGCCGCGGGAGTGGTTCCGTGGTTCACGGCACGCAGATGACAAATGTGCACTAGATCGTTCAAACACGCATACAACGGAAACTGGTAACGGTTGCTTCGAGCGCGATTGGCCGGCGTGGCGGCACGGAGCACGCGAGAGAGTAGATGGCCAACTCCCGGGGCAGAGAGAGAAGCCTTTTGAGCCTGTGAGAGAGGAGCAGAGAGGAGAGAGGCCATCCCGGTGATCGTCTAGGGCCCAGGGCCAGGGGGCGGGGAAACGCGAATGTCACCAGAAAGCCCTTTCCCTAGGCCGACTAGTGACGAGAGAACGCCGCAGGGGCGCAGGGCGCAGGCTTACATTAACCTCCAAACGCTTCTGTCAAATTCACCGTTCTAACCGAGGGGACGAGGGGATTGTTTTTTACGTGGATTTCTCTCGACACAAGTAGGTGATCTGTGAGTCTCGAATACTGACGTTTTACCGTGTAATTTAGGAAAATTTTCCGCAAATTAAGTATTTTGCATCCTCCGCCGTTTGAATGTTTACTGAAAACAGCTGTACGTTAAAATACTGTGATTAGACGATCGTATTCTTTCAAACAAATTTAATCGATCACCGAAGAATTTTACTTCCACAAACAGCAGAGGTAAATTTCAAGGATAGTGAAGATCTCCGAATAATTGACATATACTCTCTTCTGACACTCACCTGCTTGCTGTATTTCAATGACAGTCCGTGCAAAGGTCTGTTTTCGTATTTTAGCCCGTGAAATGTCGGCCGTCAAATTGCTAGAAGACAGAATCGCCAATTTGGAGAAGCAAGTGTACGGGCTTGGCAAAATGATGAGCGTCGACGACCCAGCACCGCCAAACGCCGTTGTCGACCGACTCGCCGATGTCAACTCGTTAATCAGCTCGGCATTGTCAGGCAGGGAAAAACCGAACGCGGTTATCAAGCGTTTGCCGGAGTTAAATGGCTACTTGGAGCCCACTTCCGAAGAGATTGATATGCCCGCGAGTGCTAAAGCGCAGTTGTTGTTGACAATGGAACCAGAGATCCTGGAGAATTACAAGTTGTTAACCAAAGTGCAGGAACTCGCGCCTGTGTTGGAGTCAGAACGTATCAAAGACTCGCCCGAGTTGAACAACACATTCAACAAGATATCGCTGTCGTATCTCGAAGCTTACAAGGATTCCAAAGAGCTGAGCGCTCACGTACACGAGCTGCTATCTAAGTATAACGCGGTTATAAATAGTATATCGGAATCGTTAATTATTTTAGATAATGCGGTTACAGCCGCAGAAGTAGCAGCTAAGCCGAAAAAGCAAGCAGATGATTAACGAAATAATTATTCGGTCCATTTAAATATATCAGTTAATTTATATCGTGTTTTAATACAAGTTAATATTTTTCAATTTCTGCTTCAATTTTGTATAGTGCAAATTCACTTTTAATCGCGTATCTTTTAACTTATTTATTATAGAAAATTGTTTTAGAAGCGAGTTGGTCAGGATAAGGGAAAGAAAATATCAGGCCTGTGTAAAATACATTTATTTACCAGTTTTACTTGAAATATAAAAATACGCATTCATCAGTGACTACGTATATGTGTAAACATACTTTACTGTTTAATCTCTATAACAATGCATTTTATTAAAAAATAGTCATATATTATATACATTTATCCTATCTATTATCTAGTTCTATCCACGGTTCATTTCAGAAATCCTTATTTAGGATCTCTGAGACAAACTGTTGATTCATATTTAATGGGACATGCATATGTATCGGTCTCTCATATTAAATAATTACCTTGTAATTGGTGTACATAAAGTGAACTAGAAATATCTAAAATATCACAAAAATATTATTTTTAATTCGATTCGGGCGACAGCAAATTTCGTGTAAATATAGTAATAAGTAGGAATTTTGAATATGTAGGAATGTAAAAAATTCATCTTTAAGAGACCCGTTACACTAATAAATTCTTAATACCACATTATTCATAATAAACAATTACTTTATACAGTATTTACATATTGTTTCCTTAATTATAAGTCGGTATAATTTTGTGATCTTTGATTCTTATAACAAATTCTCGTACGGAATTTAAGTGCTTTCTCTTCGATCTGTCGTCTTACAATAGCACTTAAGCTTTTCTCATGACAGTTTATCGCTGACGCGACGTTCGAGAATTATTCAAGTACCTTTCGTGCTATCAATAGGAACATTAAAATTAGAAAAAGAGGAAAGATACGAAAATGTGTACGACTTTTAAGATCAAAGAAAATTAGGGAGGTCTGTCTTAAATTTTTGTTCTTCTGTCGTAGTTTCTTTTTATATATATAGAATCACGATCTCTTTTTTCTAGCTTATTAAAACTGCGATTCGCTTGTCTATCATGAAGTATCGGTTTCTTATATACTTCGAGAAAATTGATATAATAATAATGATTTAGCTTTGCATTCGCAAAGCTGGCACTGTTTCGCGCAACCATGAGAGCGCTGGTTCCAAGCTCGAGTAAATTGCTGGATGACCCCTCGAACATCTGCTATGATGACTTAGTAAACCCTGGATTTCCCATCTTTCCGAAGTACCCTGTGATTCACTGGCACACATCAGTGGCGCCCCTTCGTCCTTCTAAAAACACAAATTGATTTATTTATCATTAATATAGTACTTATAATTTGGTTGTTATTAATATTACGATTTTCAAATAATTTTCGATGTATCGGGCGCATCATAAGTATTTGCATATTTTTTGTAGCGTTAAACTTACGTAACAAGGGCCTTTATCCGTGCATATATCGTGTTCCGTGATAAATCCTGCATAATGACTCGTGGCGTTACATTTATCGGAATTATTCGTCGGAACAGGCAAGAATTTGAGATATTGCTGCAAATTCATTTCCCCGTTCATAAGGAATCCCCATCCTGCCGTCACGCAAATCTGCCTCGGCTGAAAATCGCGTTAAGGATCAGAAAATGCGTTAATTAAGCAATAATTAACTATGCGCAACCTTATTAGAGTAGTAATTTAATCGAAAGTATACCTGAATAGGCTGTTTGGGAAGACATACGGCGCTAACGTTTGTGGAAAATATTAATGGCTCTCCTAATTCGATCAGGGCGATGTCATTATTGTACAGGAACTGATTATATTTCACTTGAGGATAAGGCACGATATTCTTAACGGTGTGCCCTTTCAGCATATTTTCACCGGTAAAAAGTTGCCATTCGCTCTTCTCCTTGTGTCTATAGGACCAAGTGTATAAAAACGTTACAACGTGTTGTATATTATGTCAAAAATGAAATATTTCATTTTATATAAATCGGAGCAAAATTATAAGATTAAGAAATATAAAAGCGTTTTTAATTGAATCTTAGCTATGGTTTACCCTTTCGTAAATAAATTCATACATTCATTTCTATATCAAATTACCTGTAGATACAGGAATAACTGGCTAGAGCGTGCATAGGACTGAGTATACTGGCTGTACAAGCAGTTCCTCCTTCCGTTTCCTTCAACAGAGCCACGCTGGACCATTGCTCATGGTTGGCTGGAGTCCCATCTGCCGATCTCGCGGTCGGCTCCTCGGCATAGTGCAGACCGCAAGTGAACTCCTGGCACGACACTTGCACCACCTTGTCCGACACGCAGAATCCCATGTCCTCTAAATTCGTGACTAGCGGCAGGCGATAATTAGGGTTCGTCTTCAGTCTTAGAACTTTCTGGCTTCTGTCCCACGCGAACGACTCGATTGTCTCGTCGGATCCAGCGAATCCCAAAGCCTGACAATAGGAATCGCTGAATTCTTCGCTCCACCCGTCCGAGCAGACTAGATAGTCGCTATCGTGTTGTCTGAATATAAAAATTTACATTTCTTTTATACAACATTAATGCAAAGTAATATAAAATACTTATTGCTAATTTTAAGGATATTTATTTTTATTGTTTTTTTTATGTTCTCGTGGATTTTTCTTTTTATCTACATAAGCACATATTATCTACATCTTTATATAATCCCCCCAAAATTACAATATAAATATTCATTAATTAATTTCGGTTTATTAAAAAGAATTATATTTTTTTATGATTATTTGCAGCTACTTTCTAATGAAATACGTTGTTGACCCGCGGTTTCGAGCTCACAAAGATAATGAAATTAGGGAGATAAATTAGGAGATTGTATATATTCGGTGTATATACCTTATCTTCAAAAATGGCACGCGATTAGTCAATTCGCTCTCCGTGTTGCCATCCGTTTCCGCATCAGTGAGATTTCTGTCTGCAGTAGCATTGGCGATTAGGCAACCCCACTCGTCCGAATAATCCGGGCAATTCTCGGTGCCGTCGCAGACTTGGACCCGGGGGATGCATCCACCGTTTTGACACTTAAATTGATCCACGGCACAGTCGCATAGCTTCTCGTCTTCCTCGTTAACGCAGTCGGCAACTCCGTTGCAACGCCACGCTTGCGGGATGCACCACTTCTCCGTTGGGCAGAGAAATTCGTTGTTCCCGCAGTTTTCCGCGCAATTGTATTCGTCCTGATGTCCTTCGCAGTCGGGTCGACCATTGCATTGCCACAATCCCGGAATGCATCTTCCTGCAATCGGGAATTTTCATAATCCCATCTAGATTTTGATAAGAATTATTGCATATTTGATATCTCAATCATTGATATTTGTCAAGTTTCACAATTCATTAGCGATAGGCTTAAGAATCATTGAATCACACTTCACGTACATGATAAAAATCTGTATGTGAGATATCGTTCGAAATTAAAAAGCTCTTGAAAGTCTTAATGGATGATTAGACATTCGAACTTTATTACTCGTCATTATCACTCCATTGTTGTACTCGCGTATCGTTTCGCACATTAATTGTACTCGACACTTACCGTTTGGACACCTGAATTCGTCAGATTGGCACCGCCAGTTCTCGCAGTCGTGCTCGTCGCTGCCATCGTCGCAATCGGCGATCTTGTTGCAGACGAGGTGCCTCTTCAGGCACTGTCCGTTGGCGCAGCGGAAGTTACCCGGACAACCTTCCGCCTCGCAGTTCAACTCATCCGAACCGTCGGAACAGTCGTTCTCGGAGTCGCATTTGGCGGATTGTGGTACGCAATACGCACCGTTCCTAGACGTTCCATTGACGCATTGAAATTGGCCTGTGGTGCATTTCGAGAAGATCCCAGGAGACGAAGCTCCTGAAGGACTGCTGGCGATAGCGGTGGTACTCTCGACCTTTACGTCCAACGGTGAAGTTCGCGCGGTCGTGATCGGTTCTTCCGTAACGCGATCCCCTTTCGTTTCTTCGAAATCGCTGAATAATTGATCAGAGAAAAAGGTGTCGTCTTGCCCAGCCGTTTCGTTCGCGTTGGCACGACCTTCGACCGTCGTCTCGTTCGCAGCTGTCTTTTTCGTATCGCCCGGTACGATCATGGGACGAGTATTTCGCATGATTACGTAGGGCTCCGTGACTGGTACCGAGTCTATTATTTCTTCCGACACGGGTATGAAGCTGGGATAATTCTTAGGCTTCGTCTCTGCGACCGCGCCCCTATTTTCGCTTCTATCCGTGCTCCCCGTAGCTTTCCATTTCGATATAGGCAGGATGTTGCCTTCCTTGTCGGCCACGGTGAACCTGGGTACATTCGGGTCTATGTCCGAGCTTACCACGCTGTCGCTCAGTTCTTCGTCTCGGTTTTCAGGGGTGACTGGAGATATCGGCTGCTCCGTTTGGGAAAGAATGGTCGAATCGGACCTTTCCGTTAAAACGTTATCTTCATTCTGATCCTCCAGGCTCAGATCTTTCTCCTTTTTGTACTTGTACTTGTCGAATCCCTTCTTATCGATCGGTTTCTTCTTGCTTTCCGGATTCTTCTCCAGCGGTATCACCCTGAGCGCCTCTTCAGACAGCTCCGAGTCAAGCGATATCGGTCTCGGCGGAATCGTGGTGAACAACATTCTGTAATTTACCATGGGTTGCGTGTCGTCTAGCACTTCCGTGACCGGTCTAACGTCTTCCGTAGTGGTGATATCATTAGGCATAGGCGAGGTTCCTTCTACGCCACTTGCAATATATTTTTCTGTGGTCATCATAGGAGTAGTCTCAATTTTTGCGCTTTCCGTCGCACTCCCGTCAATTGCCCGCCCGTTTTCATCATATTCTATTCTCCGGCCAGATCCTAAGCTTACGTTACTCTCGTATATCGTTGTCGCCGCCATGCTTCTTTCCGACGTGCTGTTTGTATCCGTCATTAAATCGCTCGGGGTGACAGCATTCTCTTTCTCGGCCTCGCTCTTGCTCGTCTCGTCATCAACATCGTCCGTTGAAATTGTTTTGTCAGTAATTTTCTTGTCTTTCATTTTCTTGTCTTCACTCGACATCTCTTCACTCAACGTTGTCGTTAACATGTCGCTCTCCGTCGTTTGCAGCTCCTCGGGCAAGATCGGGATCTGAGCTGTGGTTTTAGTCTCCAGCGTGGTTGGAGTCGTTGTAATCTGCGCTGCTGTAACAGCTTCTTTCTCGTCGGATTGGCTGACGTTCGGCGCTTCCATATTGTTCTCCTCATGTTTGCCATCATCGATTACGGTAGTGATTTCAACCTTGTCGGTTCCTATCGTCGTGGATATTTCCTGTTGAATTTCTATAGGCAATACGGGTTCTTGAGTAGTCATTCTACCATCTTCCATCTGGTTGTCCACAGCGTCTTCCGTCTTCGTAATCATCGGACTTTGTGTCGTATCGGAAGCTATCTTCTCGATCGTCGCATTCTTTTTCTTTACGACATCGAATGTAGTTAGCGACGGATCGTTATAAGGAACTTTTACAGAGTCAACATTCTTCAAAACCGCTTTCTTGGAAGACTCGATGACTTTAATCGGAATGCCGGTATCGTGTCGGTATTCCTTCGACAAGGTTTCATCCGTAATGTCGTTGTAGTGATCTTCGACAGCATTTTCTTCTGGTTTCTCTGAGCTGGCCACACTGCTTTCTATCGCGATACCTCCAACTTCTTTTTCTACTTTCTTTCCGGCAGAAGTTACATCGACAGGAGGCTTCGTTTTCTTATCTATAGGTTGTATTGTAGTTTGAGAAATTGAATCCACTGATTTATCTTTTATCGTCAATGGAATCACTTTCAACTCTTCGTCATTATCTTCGAAGAAACCGCTGCTTTTCTGATCTGTAATGTCTTCTGTTCCGTCATTGTCAACTGATTTCGTAGAACTATTTTGATGCAACACGTTCAAAATTTTAGATTCTGTATCATTGATAATTTTGCTGGCACTTTTGTCATTTATTGAATGTGAACTAACGTCATTCAATAAATCTTTGGTTTCAGTTTCGTTCATTCTGCCTGCATTATTACGTATTGATGGCCGATGTGTTATAACATCATCGATGTGAGTTTCGAAAGGATTAGGAACGTCTTGCTCGTCCTTGTCTAAGCGTGGCGCTTTCTTCATGCTTTCCTTTTCTTTATGAACGTCCGGTAAGAATGGTGACATATCCTCAACCGGTCGATCGTCAGACTTTCCTGCTGAATGATCTACCGAATTTTCTGGGAATATCGCTGGATGAAGAGGATGACTTGTCGAATGTTCTTGAATTTCGTCAGGGCGTCTATTATTGCTCGTATGAGCGATCGCCTCATCAGAACGCATTGTAGATGAACCGATCGAAGTTGTATTTTCTGCAGATTTTTTCACGTTTACGTCTTCGTTGACCCCGTTCTTCAATTCCGTCGTCGAGTTTTCTGCTTTCAGAGTTCTATTTGTGGCTTGTTCCGGAATGAGTTGCGGAATTATTGCGTGTATCTCTATCGGTTGCTCGGATTTCGGTATCAGCATGATATGTTCGTCGTCCGCCGATTTCACTATAGGTTCCCTCAATGGCTCGACATTGTGGGCAAAGTTTTTCGGTATTTTAGGAAAGATCGTTGTCGGCATATGTTCGATGACATTTTTCTCGTTCGAATCTGGTGTATTTGGTTGTAATGCGGGTTCGGGCACGTGTTCTTCCCGGTATCCAGGTATTGGCTGAGTGAGCATGTCAGTTGGAGTAGTTTCTGGTATCGTCGTAGTTGTTTCGCGTACTTTAGTATTATATGTTTCTGGATTCCTATTACTTACGCCATTTATCTCTATTGTATGGAAATATCCTGTCGATGAATACCTGTCATTTGTGGATTTAGTAGTCAATTCGGTTTTTTCTTCTACCGATGTGACCGGCAAAGTAGTTGCCGCAGTAGTTGAAATAGGCTGTTCAAAAACGTCTAAGCTAGTGCCTGATTTTTGTTCGATTGTTAAATCGCGTTCACCGGCCGAAGAATTTTCACTCTGAATATTACTTAAATTTGCATCAAAATTCATTTCTGATGTAAAATCACTTTCTTTAGTTTCCTGAAGACCGGGATTTTGTGTGAATTGCTCCGCGACTAATTTCTCGCGATTCTCAGGTTTGACTGATGCAACATTTACATTATCATTCTGTTTTAAATCTCTATAATTTAAAGTAGTAAGACCGGCATCGGTGATTGCACTTTCAGTAATTTCATCCTTGTTCGTAGACTGTATCGTCGTTATTTCTATTTTAGTTTCCACATTATCATTAATATTTACAGATTTATTTGTAGATGTTAAAGGTATCACTTGTAAGGATGAATTATCATCTGTCAGAGTTTCGTTAGACTTTACAATTGTGGTCAAAGTTTCGTCATTTTTGGAATTGTTATTTTTATTTATTAAATCAATAAGAGATTTAGGCACATCAGTCGTACCAGGATCGTTTAAAAGTGATGTTTGTGTAGGATATTCAGTAGACGTATCGTCATGAGACATCGATTTAACAGTGAATTCAGATTGATTAGGTATTTCAGTTTTTGACTCTAAATACGATTCTGTTGTCGTCAGATGGTGCGATTCCATTTTTGATTTTACCTCACTGTCTGTTTCGTCGACAGTAGTTGATGATTCTGTGACAGGCATTGATTTTGTAGTAGGGTCTTTTTCAGTAATAGCTTCTGCTTCAACAGTAGATTCGATTTCAGGAGCAATTTCTGATTTTGCAGTTGGCTCTACTTCAGAAGCAGAATTTGACTTGGCATCGGATTTTGTTACAGCTGTAGGTTCCGGTTTAACAGTGAGCTCTGATTGAGTAGTTACTTCTGGTGGAATAGTAGGTTCTGGCTCAGCACCAGGTTCTGGCTCAGCACTAGGTTCTGGTTCGGCACTAGGTTCTGGCTCAGCACTAGGTTCTGGCTCAGCATTAGGTTCTGGCTCAGCACTAGGTTCTGGCTCAGCACTAGGTTCTGGCTCAGCATTAGGTTCTGGTTCAGCAGTGGATTCTGGCTCAGGAGAAGGCTCCGGTTCAACAGTAGCATGCTCTTGTTCAAAAATAGGGGTAAATGGTTCTACAGTAAATAATGGTTTAATGGAAGACTTTGCTTCAGTGGTGGTTTCGATTGAATGATGAGAATGTTCATGATTCCAGTGAGAATTAACATTCTCGGAAACGTGTTTCGTCGTTGGAGTTGATTCGGACTGCTGTTCTATTGACACGTGCTCAGGTTGCTCAGGATGAACGTGTTCTGTTTTAGGTTTCGATGTCGATGTGTCCGTTTCCGCTAAACTTGTCTTGAAGTCCGTATTTTCCCAAGTATTGGGATGTCTAGGTTCGAAGTCTACCGCGCCTGGATCTCTACTTCTACCCTGAAAATCATTAACTGGTTCCGTGCTGGATTGTGGCATTACGTCGTCCATTTCGACGTTACTTAAATCGCTATCGTCCACACAAGTTTTTCCATCATGATGCAACGTTTCTCCTGAATTGCATATACATGTGAATGTACCAGCGGGGTAATCATATTTACAATTTCCGGTGCATCCGAGATTACCGTATTCACATTGATCGATAAGTTTTCCTACGTAAAGCCTGTTCAAATGATACTGTCCGATCATATTACCATTTTTTCGTAATACATCCTCGATATATTCCTGACTTTCTTCAGGAGCATTTCGAGGTGGATGACTTATTCTGAATTTTATTTCACCTTCCTTATTGATGTCGTATACTTTGATTACAGACGTGCTGCCCGTTTGTCGAAGAATGTTGCCTAGATGTTCCTCTATCTCGGCGCTTACTTGTCTGTACACTCGCGATTTGATATCGCTAAAATCGTCATTCCAATCAAAGTCATCTAGTCGTAAAGTTCCATCCAAAGCATCCGGTACAATATCGAATAGCGTTTCGTCAGTTGTATGCCACGGTGGGAAAGTCGAGGTTAAAGGTGGTGGACTTAACGGTGGATCCTTCACATATTCTTGACTTCCAGCCGTCTGCACTTCGTTAAGTTGACGAGTATTACTTTCATTCACATTCTCCAAGGGTTCTGCTTTTTGCGTTGGGAATACACCAGCTGAAATAAAGACACAATTTTTATTTCGGAGAGAATTTTATTTTATATTTAAAAAGTCTAATTTATTAAAATATTTTTTATTGCATTATGGACATATGTAATAAAGGATATGTTTTACAGAAATAAAACAGAATTAAGAGAATGAGAAGCCGTCTTACTTGCAGCTAAAATTGCGATGATCACGGCGATCACTATGACCAACAGCGCCATTCCCCAGGCCATTCTTCTCCAGTACGAATTTCTCGATCTCTTGTCCTTCGTGACGTAAAGTTTCTCGCCTCTGCAACACAATTTTGTTGCTACATAGAGACACTGTGAATTTACTGCATGTAAATGTCTTTCTTGTCCTAAACCCAAAAAGCGTATTTTATACAGCGCGTGTAACGCGATTCCTAGCAACCTTCGTCAATGACCAGCTAATGGGATTAGAAGCTTCCTTGGTCGCACCCAGTCTAATGCCCGCTTCGTGAATGCCTCCTAATCTCTGGATCATGTATCATGTATAATGCGTAGGCATCGCGCGCTTTTCTTGCTTAGGTATCTCCGATTAGATTTCGGAGAACGATGATAATATGTCGCGAGATTTGATTTGCGGCACTACACTTCGGGATTAATCCTGATCGGTTAATCAATTATACCTGATCGGTGATTCCTACGATTCGTAGCAGTATTCGTGTCGACATTCTTTCGTTCGAAGAAGCTGTCTCGACGTCAATAGGACACGAGACGAAGGACGAGTTCTCGGACGTGCAGTTTTTACGAAGAAATTGTCGTATTCGATTCGACACGGGGGGGAGGGAGGACTGATAGCATAAGCGTGTTAGTGCGCGACCGCGTGCCCCTAAGAGACACCTAAAGTATATTCCACTAAGACAGTTCCCAGCTGTATTTTTTTGTTTTCTTTTTTCTCTCGAAAGCATCCGTCAAGTACCTGAGGGCTGTCAGCCAGTGGGAATAGTCGACCAATCCGGCAGCGGGATCTCTCAGGCTGAGTCCCTCACGGCCGACACCGGGGCCCAAATCAAAACGCACTCCAGCTACGGTTGTTTCAACCTCGGCTTCGGGACCCCTGCTAAGTACCGTGACAACAGAAAACACTGTCTAACTTTCTACTCTCGACGTGAGGCTTTTCGGTCAGCAGCTCGGCCAAGCTTTATTATGCTATCCGCTGGAGCTAAAAACGGGTGCTAAGGCATCTCTATCGCCTGACAATTCCCTCGGCAACGGAACACGTGTTTCTTTTTAAGTAATATATACACACATGTTTCCCCCAGCTTTTCACCGCAACTCTATGACATACATAGCGCTCGCAGTATGGTTATGCTAAAATGGATATTGAGACGAATGTAATTATTGCTATTATTGCCTCCGGGATGTATGCAGTAGTGTCAGTATACGTTTAGTTTTATATGTCCCACTTTGTAGCGCAGTTAACATTTTATCATGCGCTAATACTGCATTTTCCATTTGTAAAAATGGTCTTCAATTGGAAATATCTTATAGCAATGACAGAAAGTCTCGTTTAAAACCGATCGTGATACCCGATATTCGATATACATATACGTAGTTGAGGGACGAAGATTCCGTAAGCCGTTTTTCTTTCTTTATCTCGTTCCTATCATGTTCCCTGTTTCTAAAATCCGGAAGAATTTACGCACGCTGGGGTTGGTAGTCCAGTTAATAGGAGTTAGAAGGCGGAGTCAGAATAAAATAAAAAAAATGCGTAAGCGCCAGAGACTCGTTCGCTTCGACAAATAACTCGTTACCTGATGTACTTTCGATGCTCGTTAACCGGTACGAAGTACTCCTCGTAAGGATCAGCTGGTACCTCGCAAGCTTCCTGACCCTTCGTTTGAATATTGTTGCCCGTGTATGGCCTCATCGAGACCAGTTCCAGGTTTACGGCCTCGATCTGCTCCTTCTTTCCGGACTCTACGGGAAAACGGGAAACCGTTTACCATCGCGGTATATCCGTGCGTATGGTGCAACCGGTTTTCATTTTCCGGTCACACACGAAACAGCGGAGAAACCGCATTCCGTGAAATAGTAATGAGACTTAGACAGGGCCGAGTTTCCTGCTTCTTACATAGCATAACGAGGGAAGCAAATTCGCACGAAATATGAGAATTGTATGTTAATAAGAGGTATATATAAACAAATAATGAACGAGAAGAAGGAATTAATTATTTAATTTAGATAAGGCAAACTTGCTGTTACTGCCGGTACTGTCAAGCTCACGCGCAAGATCGAGTATCGAGGTGAAAAGATGACCAGGATATCGTGTATACGTTAACTATCGCGACGTGTGTCAACGGATCCACCATGAAAAGTCCCGGATGCGATACTTCCTGGAATTTCTCGGCCACGAACGACTTTTTCTCGATAAACCGGTAGTAATGTCGATGCTGGTAATTAACGATTGAAAGTCTCGCTCTCGCTGAAATTGTGTTCAACGAGGGACGGAAATGGAAGCCGATAAGCTCTTCCATAGCGGTTTTCTGCGGTATTTTTCCTTCTGTTTGTACATTATATCTAGAGATGTACAGTTAACTCGGTCTTTTAGAAGTACAACTACCTACTTCTAATTATCAAGCTCTTCCTATACTCTTGCTCATAATATTTCAAGTTCATAGGTATTCATGTATTCATGCCTCGGTCCACGTGGTAACGGAATATCATGTACGTGATACTATTCGAACTCACCGTTGATCTGCACGCTGGTAGCACTGTTGTTGAGAAAACTCGCGTCGTTGTTGTTGCCGTTTCCGTGGACGCCATTGAGCTTCGGCTCCGGCACGCTCTTCTCCGTATTATCGGCCGGCACCTCGATTCTCGTTTCCGTTTTATAACACGGCTCCGTGCTTGGCTTAATGGGCTCGACATAGTGCTGGGAGATGAAGGATCGCTGGTGGCCATTTTCTACCGGCGCGCCGTCCGCCGAGGACTTGCGATCCTGGTTCAAGGCCGCTTGCTGCTGGCCGCCGTTCTCCAACTTGGAATCGCCGACGCGCTCGTCCTCGTTGGCGAACGCCGGATTATCCGTGCCTTCGGCATCCGACATCTCTCGATCGCGTCGCCGAAAGCTGCTGAACCCTCACCTAATAACGCCCGCCTGGTGTCGTCTGTCATGCGTCTCGTTTCTGCAATCAAATTGCCGGAATCATATATCGCGAATTCGTCGTTAAACTGTTTCGATTATTTTAAAGTATAGTCTTACTACAATCTCAATTATTACGTTCGTTAGATCATTCATTTTATTGAATAGATGTTACGGGGAGTAAAAAAAGACGCAGTAAATTTGTTAACATGTTATTTTAGCAATCATATTTCGACATCTATTTTACATCAGCATAAAAAGTTAATTTGACTTTCAATTCGTGGCCGATCCTCTCGCCGAAATTTATTCAACTCTTTTCGCACATCTCGCCAAGGTTGCAGCTAGGTTGCGAATTATCGAATTATAAGCTCGCTTAAACTCAGTTTTATTTAGAGCTATTATAGAACTTCGGCTGTCGGGCTGCGAAATGGCCCATCAACCACCGACTAACGTGGATCCACGCCAATGACGTCAGCGGTAGAGGCTGACTTGTTAGTTTCTCGCACGAGATGAGCGAGGGAGATGCGAGAACCGTGAGAGAGAAACGTCCCGCCGGCATCGGTATCCTACCGATATCCTCGCGGAACGATTTATCGAACCTGTTCGCCGGACGCAAAAATCAATTACCTCTTAACGCTGACTCAATCGCGGCTAGGGGCCGCTAAAAGAGAAGGAAGATGTTTTGCGGTCTGATCGCATCGCCCGCGATTGTTTCGCCCGGGTTGCGAGACATCACGAGCGAATCAGCAGCGACTCGAATTAGAGGCTCGCTCGCGAATCGCGATGAGAAATTTCGTGAGAAACGTCCTCCGCCGCCGGCGAAGACGAATTCGCCATAGTCCGCTTCTCTCTCTCTCTCTCTCTCTCTCTCTCTCTCTCTCTCTCTCTCTTTCTCTTTCTTTCTCTCTCTCTCGTTTTCATCTTCTCCTTCGTGCGTTTCCTGCGAACCTCCCGCCACTCTCGGTCCCTCGCGCAGCAGACTATTTGGCTTATTTTTTCGACTTTGAACGGCGTCGAGCCAATAAACTTCGGGATCCGCGCCACCAGAGAAAAAGGAACAACGGGGTTTAACCCCTTCTAACCGCCGCCAGGCTCGACAATATGGAAAACATCGTCGTTTCTTTCGAAGTGGCCACTTCAATCGGAATAAATCTCTTCGAATGTGTAAGAAACGAATGAATGCGCGTGTTCTAATAAGCTCTTAACGTAGCGAACGTTGCCTCGTTTTTCCGCTGCTCGATAAGCATGAAACTTTTTTTCCATTGTAGCATTATTAGATATAGTTATGGATGATTATGCAATTGGATGCGTGCATCGTGCTGTTATATAATACGATGCGCAAGTCTAATCTGTTTACATAAAATAGACATCGAGTAACGATTCTGAAGAATAAGCAAGGACGTCTAGTAACGAGATATTTTTTTTTCAACGTACGTCATGGACTTCATGTATTTTTAATTAATCGGCTTCTTAATCGGATTGAGAAGAGATCAAAAGTGGCTTAGCTCTATTGCATGATTCATTAGCTGTTTTTTTCGAGAAGCGATATTGAATTTATTTTGCGTTTCCTCATGTAAAAATAAATATTTCGAGAGTTCCTCTTAGACTGTCTTACGTGTCCGAAATTAATTCCGCGTGAAGCACGGATTTCCAGTCGCGCGAAATTTATCTTATCTCACTCTTCCGAGAAGATGCGGCAAGTCGAAGACGAGGCGGTGTGAGTCAGTTTGAAAATACCTAGCTAGCTCTCAGTGGTACTTGACTGTTGGCTACGCGGCGACTTTCAGGATACCCTATAGGCACGCTCGGGACGGGCGAGTGTGTTTGCGAGTGTACATACAAACCGTCGGAGGTATATACTGCACCGAAAGTGGTTGACCCTGAGAGTGCCCGGCACAAAGGACTGATTCACCCCGGAGCCAATGCGGGGAGTCCTGCCGAGGAAGGAGCTCGGCGCTCACCCGGGTCGATTCCTGCGCAGGATACTTCCTCCGTGACATAATCCACGGAGACAGTGGCATATTAATGTTTTTCAACCTGAGAGACCGCGTAACCGCGAAGATTTACTCTCCGAGAGCGGCTTATTCTCCTAATAACAATCCGCATCAGAAAACATCGCGCTATAATCCTATTGAGCGAGCGATAAATATTAACTTGATTGTCATCGAATTTTATTTATTTATTCTACATTTTATTTTATTTTTTATTTTCATATATTAGAAAAAAAATAACATTTATAAAAATCACGTAACAGGAAGCTTTTATTTTTTATAATTTTGTTATAAATACATTTTTCGTAAAATAAGTTAACTGATTAATAAACGCGTTGAAATAATGCCAGTACGTTGACGTTTTTAATGCGACAATAATGATTGGGCGGACTTCATAATCTCTACTATCGTCATCGCTTCGTTTCATCATAGGATACTCCCATCATGTACAATTACCTCGAGAATGATAAATTAAATTCTCGTTGAGTTAATTTCTTTTTTATTATTTGGACAACGTTAATTTAATTATATATTTTGTCATGCTACCGTCTCGTTCTAATTCTATAATAACGCGAACGTTTCTGCTTATACAGAAGTATTCGACGAATCTTGCGCATTTCAGTGAAAGCGTCTTACGTTCGTGAAAAAAGTGCAGTCGTAACGATGCAGTACCGTTCGGTATGTCTGGTTTCTCAGGAGAAGACTTACCTACAATTAAATATAAGATGCAACGACAAAGTGACGTGCAATTTAACTAATTCATTTTCCTTAAAAAACAAAATTGTGTTCTATAATTTAGCGCGAATTATAAATCATCTAATGTTGGCTTAATATTAATGATAAATCCTTATAAATTCTTAATCATTTTTATTTCATAAAAAAGATCTCTGAATACACACTATCTAGAAGTGATTTAAATTCAATGAAAGTAGAAGGTATCTCAAAGTGAAACTCTCGTTAGGCAGTTATCTGCTTCGTAAAAATATCCTCTTTGTACATGAAAAATGATATTCGCCGATCGTTAGGATAAAAATTTCAGCTCGCCGTGAAATTCAGCGTGACGCGCTAGAATTAATCCGCCTGGAAGGCGCGCATATATGCGCGGCGTCTCGATTTGCGCTCGCGGATAAACGTGAGATAATTGTACGTTAAAAGACCTGGAGGCTCGCGGAGATAAACATCCACACACCGTGACAAGGAAATCGCCAGGAACGAATTCATATATCGCTGCTGCTGGACCGTGCCGTGAAAAAGTGAAAAACAATGAAAAACGCGTACGAGTCCACCGTGAAGCACGCGATTATCCGACAGGAGGCAGAAAAGGCTTCTGGGTTGTGCTCGTCGTTAAAGGACATTCTCCAACGACATTGCCTATAATTTACGAGACTCGCCTGCTGATACCACTAAGTTTCGCTCTACCGAGCTCGAAGACTTTCACCTTGATCGCAATCACGACGGAACCTTGCGTAACTTTTCAGCATTATCTATGCACACCCGCGATTCGGTCAAAATCAAATTACTCTGTGACGCAACGCGTACTTGCTATGAAACTGTAGAACACGATCCGTCCGAATGTCGTACACATAATTATGAGAACGGAAATTACACCGATCATATTGTACATATCGAGGACGATAAGAAAATGAAAGAGTAAAAATCCTCCTTATTAAAATAAAATTCTACTCGAAATTGCCATTTTTCTATTAGCACAAAATTCTGTGCGTCCATGGGAACGTATTGCGTTATTCAGCAACGCAACGTCTAAATTACTTGAATGCATTGCATTACCCAAGGCATCCTCCGTGTTAAAATTAATGGACAAAGGGTTTACGGTGCAAAATGACCGTAGGAATCGCGACAGGAGGGCAGCATGACAGGAAGGTGTCCACCTTTTCCTGCGTCTGTTTTCACTGTACAACGTTCCATCATTACACATAGTACTTCTATGTTTTATCTTTATAGCGTTAAATTATACATTCAACCTGCCAACTTGATCCTATGTGCAAGTTCCATTCCTTGGCCTTTTCCGTTAGAAATTCGCGTCGGTAGCAGGATCAAGAACGGTGCTCTTTCGATGAACGAAGCATTCGTAAAGATCGTTCACGCCGGAACGGAGAATTATTATTGCGAGTCGAGCCGATCAAAGGATCCTGCGTAGTTTTAATACAGCGCACGCGAGACCAGTTCTGCTTGTTTTCCCCACGTTTTGTAGCCTCTCAGACCTTCGGAAACGGTTGAATGTTACCGATGTCCTTAGGCTAGCAAAGAGACAGTCTTAGGTATCCCCAAACAGATTTGCTAGGACTTGATTTCGCAAAGCGAATGTAGAGCAATTAGATGTCCTTGTCGATTACAGGCAATATGGAGCTAATATGATGTATATATATTTATACATGTATCACGATAAAATCTTTAAGATATCTTTTAGACATGCGTGCTGTTTGGGAAAGGTTAGTAATTTTAAAAAGTATCATCTTTCCGAATTTATTAAAATAATTTATAACATAAATTTTTATTATATTACATACTGGATTTATTACACATACCATGAAAGATTTACATTAATACAAAGAAGTAGATTTTTATAAATAATGTATAAATAATATATTTTATATATAAAATTCAATATCCGAGTCGTTTCAATTACGTATATTTCGTTTCTTCGGAAATTATCTCGAAAAACGTTAATGTACCATCAATATCTTAACGATCTGGTATTTAAGGAAAGGTGTGTCCATAATTGGCAACATTTTAGTGCTACCAGAGGATTACATAATATCACCTCTCGCGATGCGGGGTGAAAGTGACGAGGTCTTTCATCGAGAAAGAGAAAGAAAGAGAGATTATATGGAGTGCATCGCGTCGCGTCGCGTCGCCGATTATTCGCGGATGTCAGCAAGTGTAAGATTCCCGTGAACGTATTATTAACGCTTATCGGTCGAGCGCCGAACTAAGACGAACCGACTGTCCGAACCCCGGCGAACGTATAGTTGCAGGCCTATTGTATGCCTAATTACAAGTGTAACCGGTCAATTTCACGGTGCGCGCCGGT